TGTGGATATTTTTGTTATTTGTGACCTTAAACTTAGTACATCTGTTGACGATATTTCATACTGGTTGTCGTTCATAGAAGCAGACCTAGTTGCAGTTGAGATTGAATTGATCGCACCTCCAGACATCGACGACGGGAACGCTACAGTGCTTAAATCTTCCTAGATTGATACAATTATATAGATAGTGCTTAGTTCTTTTGCGATTGGGTTCTAGGTTCAATCGTTAAATAGCTATATTCCTAAAAGTTAGAATGTCTGTTAGCTTCTATCAAATAACTGACTTTAAAAATTTATAGTTATAGAAAAAGTGTGCTAGTTGTTGATTTAATTTCAGACTGGATATCGGTTATGGTCGATGAAGCCATTCAAAAAAATTGTTGTTATATATCTAAAAAATTCTAATCTGATTTTTTAGTAATCATAGCTAAATACCGTATATACAATAGCAATAAATAATTTAGTCTTGTACCTAATAAACAGTAGTGATGTTTCAAGCTTTAAAGAAGAATTATTTATGAGCGTCTAAAATATCGTCCATTGTCACAATGTGCTATCTAGAATAGTGTTAAGCAGGATACAGAATTGGCTCTTAATTTGATTAAATTGTTAATCTTGAGGGTAATTGTTGTGCATATGATTTCTTGCTTAGATATCATTAGCATACCCGAAGCTCGTATGTGCATATCATAATAATTGGTTATGCCACTATTCTGGCATATATACTTAAGTTCTATTTTCGTTATAGCAATTAAATCATACATTATCGTAAACTTTTATAGCTTCTTGCTAGTACTTTTATTGGGTAGGAGATTAAGAAAAATCGAATAACATATGATAGTACTGTAATTATTTTAATAATTAATGGATATGAATGTATTAAATACTATCATTCTGATACAATATAGACCGTTAAAATGATATGACAGTAATCTTCACTATGGCTTGCTGAATTTATATCTGATAAATACTTACTAAAATGTATAAAGGCTACTTCTTATTATATATAAATCTTACAGTCGAAAAATACCAACCTGTTTCAATGTTGTTTTAAGTGACTGGTAAGAAGAGGGTACTGTTAAAAAAGCTGAGTCCGTAGGGGATGTAGTATCCACAGGCAATTGCGTTCCTGTTAGAGCTTGAAATTCCAACAAGTTTGGTACCGAGACGTAAGCAATCGGTACCACAAAGATGGTAGTAATGGTAGCTACAAATGCTACGCCGATGAGTAGTTTCATAGAATTATTCATAAACAACTTCATTTTTATTCTGCTGCTGGTGTAGAAGTGATATTAATAATGATTATAGAAGACTTTAGGAATACATCAAAGTTTGCAAAGTGATTACAAGGGCCTTCAAATTTCGCCTCTAATCTTTAATCATGTTGATGGTATGTTGATCTAGGAACGATTATGATGATGGAAATTCGTATCTCGAAATATTAGTAACGAATGTTACGGATAAGGCACGTTTGCTTCTATTGTTTATGGCATAGACTTTATATACGGATAATCCAAGCAAGTACACTCTTAATTATTTACTTAGTATGTTTACATTTGAGCTTACGTGCTACATTAAAAATAATGGTGGGTAGGGTTAAAAATCAATTACGGTAAGGAAAGAATAATAATTAAGTTTTGATCCTTTACTACCATAATTTGTATGGCTCAATCAGATCTATGTTACGAAGTCACATATTGTCCGGGTAGTGACTAGGAAGCGTATACAGTAAGATAATCTAGATGTGAATGTTCTTTCGATGCATTGCTTAATGCAAAATATGTTCCCATTCATTTGAACGAGTAATTTACTAGTAATTTATAAACGCTCAATCTTTCATTCTCTTACAATTCTTGGTAACACTTCCAAGTCTTCCATAATGGAATACATTTATAATATGAAAAATCATTATAGAAAGTAGATGGCATATTACTAAACCTTGGCAATGTCTTAGTTGTTAGCACTTGAAAGTTCTTACTATAGATACCTTCAGATCTTTCTTATTTAAGAAATGCTATCATTATGATAGTATATAGAAATTAGTTTGTGTTATGCAATATAATATCTAGGCAATTTTGCTCATTATTCTATATCTGATCACTGCTATTTATTAGCTAGCCACAATAGGTAAGCTTCTAAGAAAGTATTGATTTTTCATGGTTTGTTTGTAGATAGATGATATTTTACAATTTGTCTAAATTTTAGATATTTTGCAAGTATTTATTGTAAATACTGGAGAAATTCTTGAAGTTTGAGATAGTTATTGAGCTCCTAGGGTATGGAATTGGAACTGATTGCATTAAAGAAGGCTAAGTATGAAATACTGGAAATTTTATCTGTTTTCTTAAACGATGCCAGTCGTTGTTTATTAGTTACTTATTATACCGTGAATATACATTTTTCCATAGGGCAATTTAATTGCTTGGCGTTAGGGTTTGTGTATGCGGTAAAAATTCAGATTGGAATGTTATAATGATGAATCTATTGCTGTAATAAATAAAGCATATCCTCTACATGGGAATATTAAATTAGTTCGTTAATTACTTTAATTATCTGATTCTAAAAATGTAATTACGATGGTCATTTAAGTTAACTATAAAAGAATGTTATAAGTATAGTAACTATTGCGTAATAAAATTAATTTCAAATTTACTTTCTTTCAGAATCTGATTAATTTTACTATGGTATGAGTCAACCTTCTAACACTATGGTATTTTAATTGAAATCTCTATCATAATTTGTTATGCATACTATATGGAAGTATCTTTAGTATAAAATCTAGGTACACTACAAATACCAAATGTAGTATGCGTGTCTCTGGAAAATTCTGAGGCTATTCTTAAAATACCAAGATATCTTTAAATTTGTTATTTCTTTATTATATTCACTTAATATGACTCGTACCTGTATATATTACAATGCATCTCATTTTATTTTCATTAACTACGGAATGTATTACGAAATTCACTGAAAGTAAGTTAAGAATTTCTGTTATTAAATAATTCTAATGTTAATGTGCATACTGTACAGTATATAGAATTAGAATTATTTACGTATGAGTAATTGTAAAGCGCAGGAAGTGACTATCTTAAACAATAGAAAATATTCAAAGGTATGCTAGTTGTTTAGCGGATATTTTATTGTAAACGATTTTTTTATATGTAAAGTAAAACTGTGGAATGCTTGTTATAGAGATGAAATATCTATAGCTAGTTGAGTAGTAGATGTTGGACACACTCATATTAACTAATAATTATGAATAAACATTATATGAGTATCGTTAAAGTTTTCTAAATTACATGGCACAGACTTATAAGTTTAGAGGAATTGAAAAAGCCTGAATTTAAATTGAGCGAAGTGCGAAGAAAATTTGTATACTCATATTTGGTAATATGGGCATGATATACGGTAATTAGATTTAACATATATTACAAAATGATTTGTGTTCGATTTTATATAAAATTGTCTGAAGCTATCATAAATGGCATGTTTGTCTTCGTTATCTTTCTAGGGGCTACGTTGTCTATTTCTATGAATATTATATTGTACTTCAATTTACCGCTTATTAAATTATATGCAATAAAGCATTGACTACCATGTACATCTTTATACTTTTGAGCTAATTTCTTAGGCAGTTAATGACGAACTAGCCCATGGAATGTCAAAACATTACAGAAAGTTGTCTCCAAATAGACTTTTAGTTATACGATTAGTCGCTAGTTGACTTATAAACCATGAATTCATCATATCTTGGATCTACTAATAATGCAAGGGAATATTATTAAAAGAATTTAGCCTCGTCTGTTTATTGTGCGAAAGTGAATATAGATATAGGAATAATGGAAAAGCTCTCATTGGAAGTTAATTCGCGCTAAATTTGAATCTTTTAATAATTATTGGCATTGTAGATGAAGTAGATCATATAGCGTGAAATTGAGTGTTGGATCAGTAACTGGTCATTCCGATCGTTTTATCATAACTAATTAAAAGAGTTGTCGTAGTTGCATAATTATAGCTTGAGTACTTTTTTACAAGTAGGATTAGACATCTAATAATAAGGTGACAAATGATGTTTGATTATAGTGCAAATTTTCAGTCTTAAGCGTACAGTATATCGTAGCTTTGCAGATTTAATTTCTCTGACAAAGAAATTACAATACTTTAATTCAGGCATCACTTGGCATCAAGCTGGAATAGAATTGCATTGATAGACGTAATACACATTAGTGTAAAATATAACTAACTTACTGACATGATTAAGGTGATCACTCTATTTATGTCAGTAGCCTTGGTTGTTCAATGCAATTCGAGAGTTTGGAACCATAAAATTCTGCATTGTTTATTAAGATAATTTTAACCATTTACGTACAAAGTAACGCTTACAATAATTATTTTTTGCATGTTATTTACTACGGGTGTAAAATTTCAATGAAATTAATAAGCAATATACATTATCGGGGCTTTTACAATAGCATCTTGCGTAGTTACAATATCTTCTGAAAATATCAGAATAGTCAATTTAGTGGTAAAACTACAAAAGCTTACACTAGCGAGAAATTGATTCGTTATACTCGTGTATGTCAGCTAGAACCCAGTTTATTAATTGCAGTATTCAGTAATGCATAAAGCTAGAGCATATTTTTAATATAGCATTAAGTTTAGCTATGATTTTACGTCTTATTAATTAATTTTTAGATCAGCAGCTAGGACAGTTTCACCCATTGATATTGCTTAGTAGCCTGTATCTAACTGATGACTTGGTACGCATTGAATATAGCACAGCGCCATATCGCAGAAAGCAGCTTATTCTTATGTTTAGAATAGGACAATCTCCACCGTGGAATGAAATTGATAGAACTTATGGCACAATTAAATTATCATGTTAAATAGTATTTACGAATTTCTTTACAATGCCGCCATTTTTAGCGGATATCAGTAGGCCATTTGGTATGGAAGGGTTGAGATTTGAAAGATAGTCCATTAGAAGGCCTTGAAATAACATCATCATCTTCACAGCAAAAGACGATTACACTTGGAGTTGTAGCTGTACCTTTATGAAGTTCATGTTCTTCACCAGGAGCTAACTCCGTTACGGCTGTCAGCAACTGATAATCAACATGTGGCGCACTTTCAGTAATAGGTTCCCAATCTATCGGTGGTGATGTCGGTGGCGATAATAAATACTGTTTGGTTGGCGTTGGAGGGCGTAAGTAACGGTCTTCATCGGATACTTTTGGTACCTGGGTTTTTTATAATATCACGTTAACATAGTCCGCAGTATTGTAAATTTGTAGCGTCATAAATTTGTCAGAAAATGACTGCAGACTGTAATATGGTATTAACTCGTAGAGTATAAATCGGCTTTGATATATCTAGGATAAGGATTGTTATTTAAATACAGCCATAATATAAATCTGTTACCTGTATCAATATGACTTTTATTGGTTCGCCATGAAACGGTATTTGGTGTAGTTTTGCTTGAGCGATTTCGGCATTGTTTCTATTTTCAAAAGTGACTCTTACTTTCTTGAAATTTTTCAAATAATTAAATCTGATATTGTTATCCACTGTTCTGAAAAGCTGTTCAAATTCTCTCTGTATATTAATAAGAATACAATATAAGAATTTCATCTCATGAAAAGGTATACGAGTATTTTATTACTTCCGTGGTAGTGAACGGTAATGGATAACTGGAAATTTCTAAAATTAGGTATTGATGCCACACGACCGAAAAAATCTCTGATTTAAGTAACAATCTACGCGTATTCATCACTACTACTTCATTTTCAATTCACTGGGATAATGTTCTGCTCATACATTCAAGAAGAGATGTGGAAATGGATTATAAAATAATACAGCATGTAGTAATATAAAATTGATTTATAACATTAGTTGTAACGATCACTGCTACGATGATAATATCGCTGTATAACAAAATAATACCAGGCTAACGTATTAATTCAAAAGATGTTATCATTAAAATACAAGAAGAATCAGAAGACAGTGAAACTCTTCCTGCAGTATATTAACGACTACAAAAGTCGAACGGAATTCAACGCAACATCAAGTGATGAAATAGTTTCGAACTTACGCGTAATGTACAATAAGTGTACATGATGTATAGTACTACACTTTTCGTTATCTATGTTCAATGATGTTGACATCATGATGATTATTTACTGTAACAACAGTAACAAAATGAATCATGAATTATAACATTTTAGTCCATGCATCATTCTAACGTTAAGTCAATCATGGCTAACGAGAATAGGGTACTGTAATCTATTGGCGTTCATTTCATTTTATATAGGGAAATACAAAATCACTCCTATTTCATTGCACTACATCGGCTATGCAAAGTCAGAGTCACTTGCTAGTACTGACAAAAATACTGTTGCATGGTTAAATTACTTGTGGCAGCGATTAAGTCAAGTACTGGACGTGTACAGCATTGGCAACTTTATTACTGCAGAACGGAATCCCAATTTCTGAATAATCCAGTAGTCGTATAACGAAAGAATTTTAGTTTATGCATTATTTCATGCAGGCAAGATTGTCAACGAACATTTGATAAAGCCGAAGATGGATCGCTTGAGTCAGTCACTAATTAATTGTACTGTATAATAGTGTACATATAGTATAGCAGTTTAACTATTTCAACGCATATCATTGTTGATGCCGGATTCTATCATCAAATTGAGGCTCCATAGCAGTGATTTCTACAGTATTTTGCTCTACGGTACCATGATCCGATTAATGTAATATATCATACAAAATGGTGGAAAAATATTGACGAGATTGGATTACAGACGTAACCACATAATCGACAGCAAAGTCTAGATGGATAACACTTAAAATCATCAATTTACAATGTTGATGATTAATACCTTTAAAGATAGGTCTTGGAAGAAAGCATCTGGTAAATCAGCGATAGATAAAACGGTTTGATTTTCGGCTTGTTCGTGTTGCGAAAAATCATCTTTTACAGCGTCATCATTCACGTTTTCATTGGTAGTATGATTATAATTATCTAACATGGCTAATTGAAAACAATATCAATATGATATAGTGCTATGGTTGATTTTGAATCGATCAAAAAATGATAATGTGTACGTATTCGTATGTTATGCGCATCGACAGGGTGATACAAATATATGGAAACGCTTTGCGGTTTTTTGTATGGATAATGTTTGCCCAATTTTCTTCGCTTCAAATTGTGCAGCCAGTTTAGAATTTTCTACTTGAATCCGATCAAAAGCTTGGTGGATGGTCTCAAGCAAAGTTGTTTACTACAGTAGAATGTACACTATACTAAGAAAAAAATCATTCGAGTACTGTACAGTACAGTACTGTAGTTCTTGCTTTACCTCTACAGTACTGTACAGTTTGTATTTCATCAACATACTGTACGTACTGTACGGAGGAACAAGGCCTACTGTACACTGTACAGTAAGAAGAGTGGATAGGAATTTTTTAAATTGTCTATTTTTCCCTCTTCCTTCAACTTCGCCGTGATAGTATAGTGGTCAGTACTTTGCGTTGTGGCCGCAAAAACCCAGGTTCGAATCCTGGTCACGGCATTTTTTTGCATCAAGCGTATCGTACGATTTTTTACTGTCCAGCCATGCGGACGTACAGGGTACAGTAACTGATACTGGTACTGTACATTTACTGTACTGTACTGTAGTAAACAACTTTTGTTGAAACCATTCACCAAGCTTTTGATAGCCACTACTCAGGGACTACTCCAAAGAAGAGAAGGACATTTTTTGCAGCTTTCGGCCGTGTCCCGCCCTTTCTCTTCTTTCGAGTACAATATTTTTAATAATTGATTGTCGGTGTGAATATTTTTCAAATAATTAATTATAAGCTTTTTCGAGACTTATAACATTACAGTCAGTATTTTGGAAATCAGATGAATCTACGTACAGTACAGTACAGTACAGTACAGTACAGTACAGTACAGTACTGTAGAATCAGAACTTTAGAATTTAGAACTTAGAATTTGGTACTGTAGCAAATCATCTTTGCACTGTAGACTGACCATGCCGAACGGTGAGGTGATTTGGATACGACAGATTAACTTGATTTCACTCGTACAGATCATAGCTTGAAAAATAGATTCCGTTTTCGGTAGAGCATACAATATTGTCAAGATTCTATATTTCAACGATGATAGTCAATTCTGTACCGCTACTTCTACCAATCATTTTATTAGCCATATTGCAAATACCTATGGCTCGCTCGGTTTGTGATGTAATATTCACTAATCGATCCTCAGAAGATGGAATGGGAACTGATACCATTAGTAAGCTTAACAATGATCGTTATCACTTGATTAACTTACCTTTAAATTATAACGTAACTGTTCAGGTGGATGTTGGTGACGAAACACGGAATTTATATATCATCAACTATTATATAGCAAATCTATATAAAAGTAACGCGCAAAATTTTGTGAGGCTTCCAACCGAATACATAAGGCTTTTAAGTGGATTGATAAGATGGCTTTTAGGTGTTAGAAGCAGTAAGGATATACTCAGTATAGATGTTCAACTTGCATGTGGCAATGAGAGTTTGAACCAAATTTTTAATGGCAGTTGCCAGCTTGTACCGAAGCGGGCCCTAAAAATCATGGCTGACTATTGGTTGGATAAGTTTCAAATTAATTGCAAGTCAGACGTACACTGTGTTGATCAAAAAATATGTATGCGTATGGATCCGAATTGCCCTCTTTATTGCAAGGAACATAATGGGCCTACCAAAATGGAAGAAGAGAAGACCCTATCCCCAATTAGCGTATTGTTGATATATACAGCCTCTGTTTTGCTGCTCTTCAGATTCATTCTCTCGGTTTTCATGCATCCCACAAGTCCAAGTACGGCCATTATACAAGGTGAACAAATGATTTGTACATCTCAATCACTTTCTCTCAGAGATACTTTGAAGCTAGTGACTTATCATTATGTTCCTGAGGGACAACATTATCAAGTACTACTCTTCCATTTGATAATAACTTCGATATGGATAATTGAATACTTTACTGGAGCGCTAGGTAGTTTTAGAGCAGATAATTTTCAAGTGTGGATTGAAGTTTTATGGTTCAACTTACCGCGATTCTTTATTTGGACTATAATTATCTTCGTTAATACCTTACAAGGCATCATCGTTGCTGTCATTGCTGCTATAAGAAAAAAAACTGTACAACATTGTAACGACTACAAGAAAGCGAGTGATGATTGGTTTGCAACTTTTATTCATAAAGGATTCTTTTACAAAATTCTGTATTGGCTACAGTTGCACGTATTTATTTTCGCTATTTCTTTCAAAGTCAATGACTTTAACATAAAATCCAATCGCTTTTATAAATATTTTCTAACAATCTATTTTACGATGACATTCCTAACAATATCTTACGTATTAGTGGATTTTGGTTTTATTGTTCTAGGTGCCATCATCTATGTCACTTCCTTTCAAAACACATCGATACCTTATCTTATAATCGGGTTACCGTTGAATATCGTTTTAATTGCTTTAATTCAAAATCACTTAGGTCAAAGACGATACTTGTTAGACTTATTCAACAAAGTGAATGCAACAGATATTCCAGTATATATTAAAACTAATCAAAGACAAAACAAAGTCTTGATGAAAGTTTCTCGTAACGCAGTTCCGTTCACTAAACAGTTAGAACATTTCTTCCGACAGAAAAAAACTGGAAAAGATGTTACAAATGAGTATTTTATATTTAACGAAAGAAGTTCTGATGAAACAATAAGCGAATTAGCTGAGATAATACATTGGGAGGATGTTGGATCAAACTTTGAAATTGTTGAAAATTGGAACGGGCAGAAGTGGATAAGATCATCTATTTATAAATCAGCAGTTGACGCTTCAGGTATTGCAAGTGTAAAAAAACTGTTTGTAGACTGTCTTATTCTAGTATGTATTGAAATTGCCTATTTTTTAATAGTATCTATAGTCAACGATGAAAACATCGATTCAGTACGCAGTATTATTGGTGGTGTATTAATACCTTATATTTCTATAGTTGTTGCTATTTTTATTACACGTACATCTACAAATGAAACATCTGATAAAAGAACTATCTGTAAACTTATAGCTAAAGACATAGATTATTTAAAAGCAACAGCTATTGTATCCGAAGTGTAATTCAAGAAATTGGAAAATCTTCTAAGTTTTTAGATAAAATGAAGCTTCGGTGAACGTATATTGATAGATGCTTTTTACCTATTTGAAAGTAAAGTATGTTTATACATAATTATAGATTGCCCGTAATATGTAATATTTAGATTGTACTACAGTGTAAATGTCTTACTACAGGCATTTAATATTGTTCTTAAATTCTGATTTGGTATCTATTGTATCTAATGCTACGATACTATTTCCTGCATGCATTCTATTCCTAAAGCTCTAAATACCATCGCTTTCCGCCTTAGAAATCATTAATTACAATAGTTACAATGTTCGTATTTCCTTACGTTACTTCACGACAGTTTACATACTGCTCTACTGTAACTACCACATTGTGCACCATTATCGTCTACAATAAAGCCACCTTTTCTTCTTCATGCTAAAACCCTTGTGTATTTCTCTGCATCGCAACTAAATCTGGTACTGGTGACTCATTGAAGCCTCCATCACGAACGATAGTTCTAAGAGGAACTGTTACTGCTTGCTTTTGCTTTGGATTAAATCGTATTTAATCGTATTACAAAGCAGAATATTTTAAGATCGGAGAATGCTCATCTTTGTCGCATATAAACTACTCCTGTAATTACGCGTATGGCTGATAGAGCTACTGTTGTAGCCGATAGTCACACAAGTCAATATCTCAATTTGTGTAACTCGAATTTTGTTCCAAATAACTGTTAATAAGTTCAATTAATGCTTGATTGAATATCAAATAAGACTTAAAAATAGGTAAGCCAGTGTTGGGTTAATGAATTAGCTTCCGGTTAGAATTACTAGTACTGTATATTGTCGATTAGTACGGTATACTGTCATTTACTGTACAGTAGTTATACTATAACTAGTATGAAATCTGTCGCGTTGCTGACGGATGAACACCTTAATTAGGAATCTGCAAGACATTGAGATTTTAGATGCTGATTGTCTAAAGCTACTGGTAGTAATGCTATCCTGAACTGCCTCTTTGCCCAACTGTTGAATAACACTGTGCACTTATTTATACATTTGTTAGCAAGAATATAAAATTCAAGAACAATTATAGGGCGGGAAGGTGAGATTACAAATCCGTCCGTAATCGGTCCGAAATACGGTACTGACGTATAGTGTACAGTACTGTATACTGTATAGTGTTAATAGATACTGTAGATCAAAATAACAACACTGGTTCTATCCAATCTTCGTGAATTAAAGTTTGCTACTGTTGCACTCTTCCAAGTTGGTTCTAACCTGATCATTATTGTTATTATTACCTGGTAATCATTACTTTTTCTACTACTGTATCGATGAATTGGATAACTAGATACTGGAACTAGATACTGGAACTGAGCTGTCTTTCTCTTCCTTTATGGTAATTATGGTACAGTGGGATTGATGTTGAAATTATTTTTATTATTCAGATTAATGATAATATCAGTTATCCTTCCAAGAATGCATTGAAATCCAGTTGATGTCGATCCAATTGATGTATATTGCAAAATTTCAACGCCTTGTATGCTTAGAATAGGATTTACTTAGGACAATGCTATATAAAAAAGACACAGGCTCAAGGACCTAGTAAGATAAACCAGCTCAGTTAAGATCGACCATGTTTTCAAGTAGAATTGTCGCTGCTGATTTTTACCTCGCCAAACCCATTCAAAAATTGGATGCATGTTACTCGGATTTTCGACGATGCCCAACCAAACGAGTTCCGGTCGTTCGAATATTTGGTGCTACACCGGCTGGCCAAAAGACTTGCCTTCATGTACATGGCGTTTTCCCCTATCTTTATGTCCCTTATGATGGTAGTCTGCCTGTTAGTAAATACTTATTAGAGTTTGCTAATAGCATCGATAAAGCTATTCATGTCGCTACCGGTGTCAAATCAACCGATCAGGATACATCGAATATGGCTTGGCAACAAGTCGTTTTTAAAATAGCCATCGTCAATGGAATGTAAGAATCAAATTGATTACTAATAATGTGCTACAGGTTTCTATATGGTACTATCGTAAGACTAATGTATTGTATATTACTGTCGTGTTCTTTACTTGACTACTGTATCTGAAGTGCATACTTCAGTGCAGTTTGAAAGAATTTCGAGCAAACTGCTATTCTAGACTCATTTTGTTATTGCTATTCTGCAGGCCCATGTATGGATACTACAACGAAGAAAAACAGTTTATGAAGATTTATTTATATAATCCAAATCTAGTAGGGAAGTAAGTTAGAACGATCTCGGATAGTTTTGTGTAAAAAGGATACCAAGTACAGACATGCAGTTACTCTGTGCTTCATATATCGAATGTAATATGCTCGCTTCTTACGCTTCAATAGGCTAAGGTAAAGAGTTACGTTATGTTCTTTGCATATATGGTACCCATGACATTGAGCTAATGCCACTTTGAGTCTTTCTGCTGCGTTGAAAGTTGCAGAATAGACGATAATAATAGATAGCAATTCTAATCAATCGTTCACTTTACCTGTAGTTACATGAAACGTTAGACCTTCGTATTAAGAATGGTAGACAACTTTTGACCTAGTGAACTGATATTTATTAATTATTGTAACAGGGTTGCAGAGTTATTATTAGCCGGTGCTATCATGAATAAAGTCTTTCAACCGCACGAATCGCATATTCCATTCATTTTGCAAGTAAGTCACAATATGACTCAACTGATTGTATTGGAAAATGGTTGCTTAATAACATTAATGATGATTCCAGTAAATATCAGTTAAGAATACTTACTAATTTTTGTGTTGCAGTTTTTCATCGATTATAATTTATATGGGATGAACTTAATCAAGCTTGCTGTTGTTAAATTTCGCGCCCCATTGAATGAAGATAGTGAGTATTTCAGAATTGATTTAGTACTAATCGATTTCTAATCGGCCATAATAGGATAGTTTTCTCAGCATAATAAATATCGTACCAAATATTATAGGCATTCACTATATTAGCCCTGTAGGTGAAACACCTCGTACTCCCATGATGTCTTCCTCGGCAGTAACTGGATACTCTCCTTATCGTAGCCCTGGACATAGAATTTGGAACAACGCATCCATTCCAGCGTAATTGACTAGCATTGTATAGTTGTTTTAGTCTTTTGCAGAATGTCATTTACTAATTCGTGATTTGTATTGCCATGATTCCATCTTTTGATCGTATTAATGTTTCAAAAATGTGTCGATAATTAGGAATCTGATGACATCATACGAAGCTGAACGAATGAGTACTTGTGAACTGGAAGTCGATTGTGTTGCTGCAGATATTATTAACAGGCTAGACTTGGAAGGTGACTGTAATTAAAAGGGCTTTCATTATCTTGAATTTTGATAATGTGTTTCTGGTGTTTAAGCTACTGTTTAAAATTACTATCTAAAACTTCCATCTGTATTTGGCATAGCTACAAAGGGAATAAATCCTGGTATTAAAGCAATATGGGATGACGAAATTCAACGTAGAAAGAATAAAGGCGAATCCTCACAGCTAACGCCGCCGGCTTCTCAAGGTAAAATTGATTAAAGTGACCATTAGTTTGTCTATTTTTCGTGGTGTAATTATTAGGTGCTATGGCAGTGGTAATGAATGTTTAACATTACTTTGTTTTCATTTTGCAAGAGCGCTGCCCAACTTACGAAGACTCATCTGAAATAGAATTTAAAAGAATAGTTGCTGCAGCGATTAAGCAATTTGAAAATGAGCAAAGGTAGCGAACTGACAATTGTATATCTGACGAAATTAGCATATGTTCGGTCTAGGTAATTTATTGGAAACTTGTTCAGCAATCTTCGTATAATGTGAACTTTACTCGGTTATGTTTTAGCCAGCAGGATGCGAATGTCAGCTTGGATAGTGATCAGTTAGAATTATCGCAAATCGGTTCTACCCCTTCCTGTCAAATTGAGATTCACTCGACAAGTTTGAACTCCAATAAAGGTATTGCTAGCTGTAGGAATAATATAAAATTAAAACATTGGGCAAATAATTCTTAAATTATGCAGCTTTGATATAAATTTTTGTTGTGAATCCGGACTTTAGAAGTCAACTCCATAATTGAGCATACTGACTCTGCGATCAATGATAATGCTGTAGGAGAAACTGACGTATCTTATCGGCGTAAGATCCTCCGTTAAACTTTTGTGTCTATTATTTATTACTAACATGTGTTTGTGGTATGCAATTATATGGTAAACTTTCGAAAACTTGTCTTTATAGGGTCCGAAGTTTCAATGGACTCTGAACTGGTGGATCTTTTAGCCCATCTTGGCAGTAGTAACGACACTAATAGCCTATTTAGCAGTAGCCAATTAAATGATATAAATTCACAAGATGAAGTTAGCATTTTCAGCGGAAGTGGTAGAATGGAAGTAGATGCTAGTAAAGAAGACAATGAATTGATAAAATGTGATGATGACGATGAAGCGTTGTTAATGTCGCAGATTTGGACGTTAGATGCTTTTAACAATAACGATACTGTTGTTAACACCGGTGTACAAAGGTAAATATCGTGTCTCAAATTACTGTTGCTTTGCATGCTTATCCAATGCACATTGTTTTTATTTTGCTAACGGTCAATCGAAAGGTGAAAAATATAACAATTCTGTGTAATTTGTCTAGTATTGCAGTAGACAGCGAGCGATCTTTTTCGTTTGTGGAAGAAAATACGCTTATAGAACAAGTTGATGGTGAGGATGATTCTGATAAAGAAGTAGAAAAGAATACAGCAAAATCGTTAAAGTTAAAATCAAATCGAAAAACTAACGAATGCGGTAATTCTATGACAAGAAATGTGAGCGGTACCACATCAGGTTTGAATATTTTACTAACCTAGTCTAGCTGATGTACTATTACGTAGTCACATATATTATTGTACCCACAGTGAATGAGTATAATACATTGATCCTGAGCTAAGATAGAACGAATACTTCAGTACAATTGTAATACTGGAGTTTGTATCCTAACATGGCTAGAAATGGAATTAGGATTAATTGAGCGCTTTCCTACACAAGCTGTGATTATTCCTATAATAATTTAGAAATTTTGTGTATAGATGTTATTAAATCTAAAAGGAAATATATAGTCAACGATGACCAAATGGAAACGAACCTGACAAACGTCAAGAAGAAAGTTGCAAGAAATTTATACAACGACTTTTCTGTTGATGAGAAAGCAAGAAAGACGGAAGAGATTACGGTGAACCAATCAAATAATTCCTCAGAAGTCATAAAACATGGAACGGAGATGAAAGTTAATTTTGGTTCCAATTCTTTTTATATTTACTTAAATGATATGGGCATTAATACCGATACTTTAGGTTATGAATTGAAGACAGCTAATAAAATAGAATCTAATCAAGAAGAATTAGTGAAGAATCTTTCAGCTGCTGTAACACCATTTGTGCAATGCAACCTTAACAGCGAGAACAATCTGAGCAATGATATCGATCATACTTTAATCTCAGAAAATAAGTTATCGGTTATCGAAGATACTATTAGCCACGATAAGATTGGAGAAAATAGAAGTTTCGTTGACGATAGTAGTGATATCGAAACAAACACGTGTGATGTCTTGTATAAATTATCATTTTTATCGCCTACTTACCCTATGAGTCCTACCGAGACACCACCAAGACCATCTACTCCAGATTTTGGTATAGATAGCTTAGCAGTTGGAGGTTATGTGGATGTTGACAGATTGAATGATATGCCACTGAAATCAAATGAAAATAGCGCATCTTTTGTGTCGGTAAAAGTGGAAAGACAAGATGATGATGCTTCTGGCAACTTTGATCTGCGTCCTGGCTTAGACAGCACAGTTACTGAAACATCAATAGAATTAAAGCCAGCCAAAAGTTCTCTACCAGTAGCAGTATCAGCTATTACAAATGAAGATAAACTTCAAGTAGTTAAGCTGGATGTACGACCTGGATTCATCAATGACTGTGAAAGTGCTCAGAAGGAGATAGATGGAGGCGAAATTTCGGGGCGATTATTATCTATGACGAAAGATTGCGAGGACGTCACGGTAGCGATGGAAATACCATCAAAAGAAGATTTTGATACACAGAAGAATCTTCAAGCTACGATAGGACATAGTTCTTCGTCAAATCCGTATGATTATGAAAATGATGCAGAAGAGAAGGGAAAGATGGAAAAAAATGTTGAGAATTTTCTTGTAAATTATCAGCAATTAAAGGATGTTTGTGATAATTCACTGAAAGATCAATGTAATGTACTTAAATATTATTACAATCCACCGCAGCGACATGAGATCAGTAGTACTCTATCAGACTACGGGCTACCTCATGCCAAGTATCAAGAACCATTTTATAGCAACGCGGAAGACTTACCAAATATGTCTATGTAAGCGAAGTACATATTAAAGAACGATGTTATATCGACCTAATGTTATGTAATGATTCTAGTTTAACTAACTCTGCTTTTTGATTTTTCTACAGGGAAGTAGGGAGTATGGCGTTAAAAGTCAAATCATGTATAGTAAGTATGGTATCATTTTCAATTGTTGTTCTAAATAGATCAGATTGTTGATAATTTTTTTAATAAATTGGCAGATAGAAAATCTGACTGAATTTGATACTGGGTGCTCGCTTTCGTTTATGTTGGGTTTAAATCAGTGGCAATCTATTCTATTTATTAATCATCCAAAAGTAGATGAAACATTAGCCCATTTAGCATGTCGGTCTTTACCTGATATAAGTTACGAGATGCATAAAAATTTTATTGCTCGCGATGCTATCCTTGGCGATAGAAATGTTATAGTTATCCCAAGCCTAGAACCTCCAACACGAAATAGCGTTGAAAAGTGGATAACTGATAAAAGTTATGGTATCAAACGAAAGCAATCTTGCATCGTAGACGTTGATAATCTGGACTCCAGTGTAGTTGGCGATGGTGCTAAAAAGCAGAAATCTGTTCAGTTTGACAAAATATGTCATCAGGTGGGAGATTTTACGCAAGACCCTTCAATGATTAGTGCTATTCTCAATGAGAGTACGCGTGAAAGCTCATCACCCGCCAGTCAATTATCTACAAGTACGAAAAATTTAATCACTGATAGTGAGAAGTTCCTGATTCCCTCCCCTTGCTCAAAATCTTCGTTATCAAATTCACCTAAAACTGGATCAATAACTGATAATAAACCAATGGTTAATATTGCTGGAGACGCGTACGTCAAAGGAGATTTTAATTGTTCTCCTCGCACACCGCTTAGTAAGGAATCAATACATGACAATAACCTCAAATTTAAACCAAAGGATAGAATATTTACTGCCACTGAAATGGTAAAAGAGTTACGCATTATTTTTTTATCGTAATATTATCATGTGAATCAGCGTTATACCTTTTGCTTCGATAAATCATGCTAGGACTCTGTACAGAAGTTTGGGCGTCGTTTAGCTGCAGATTCACAAATTGAAGGCCCATCTCCAAAAAACACATATGACTTTCGTATTAGCCAACATAATCCAGACACTGCGAAGGCTGTTCATGAAGTACATTATTCTTGCAATTGACAAAGTACTTGGTTAGACTGTAATTAATTTGAGTTCTGTTTATTAATAAGTACAACATCTAACAATAATGAGCATAGAATTGCATATAGAACGAGAGCGAAGCTAAATCCTGATCCGGAATGTGATCCAATACGCGTATTATTCTATCATTTATATCGTGATATTCCACGTAGTTCACATCTTAAGAATTCCTTTTCTGGTATGATTATTGTTGATCCAAGCCTGTACGACAGGGAGAGTTCAGTACAAGCTGATTCAAAAGGATCATTCGATATTAAATGTAACGATTCAATTACGCTATGTGAAGGTTTCAATTCTGATGATAGTTTATTCACGTCTCCTGATGAGAAGAAGTCTAATCGTAGCGGTCGTGTAATGGACGTATTAAATTTAAGTGGTAGAAGTAGAATGCTTGATAAATGTGGCGTGACAAATGCTTGGGTAGAATATGTACCTGATGAAGATAGCCTTTTGAAGTCTTTAGGATTAGTTATGAAAAGGTGCCTATTAGTAAATTTAACAAAATGTACGATATTAAAATTCCGGATTTTGATATCGCATCCGGCAGCATGTTAATTACCTTGCAACTGACATTTAGATGTTTTCCTTCTTTAGTTATAATTTAGTTTCATAAACAATTTTAATTACAATTGTTATTTGTATGTATAGCTGGGATCCGGATATTCTAATTGGCTATGAGATTCAAATGCTTTCATGGGGCTATGTATTCGACAGAGCTAAATTTTTGAAAATCGGTTTAGCGCCTAGATTGTCGCGTATTCCTGAACAAAAAATTAGATCCCAAATTGAGTTAACTGATAATTCACTCGCTCGTTATAAAACAGACTTATTTGTAATCGGTAGAATTTTATTGAATGTGTGGCGAATAGTTCGAAGCGAAGTAAGTTTTACATGTAATAAAATGTACTGTTTTGACGATTGGGTAAATGGTATGCTATTCATGTATCATTAAGGATAATGGATAACCATTTTAATTGACTTCAGGTTACATTGAATATTTATACATTTGAAAATGTTTCATACCATGTATTACATCAAAGGGTGCCTCATTATTCCTTTGAAACATTAACGGAATATTTTAATCAAGACTCTCACAGGTAAATGCGAATATCTGTTAAAATCCTATAGGATATAGGCGTTAGTAAGCCAAGAGTAGATTTGTACATTTTCGGTATGTAATATCTGTTGGCTCTTATAGGTGGAAGACAATTGAATATTATCTAATGCGCTGTCGGAGCAATTTTTTATTGTTGAATGAATTGGATACGGTCGGTTTAACTAGTGAATTTGCAAGACTTTTTGGAATTCCGTTTTATTCCGTTTTATCAAGGGGAAGTCAAGTAAGACTGGAAAAGCAATATGAACATCACATTAAAAACACTATATCGATCTTATGGGATACACAGAATGATATCTTCTCCAATTTTAATAATTTAGTTCCGAGTAGAATCCATGATGTTGCGAATTGCAAAGCCGATGAATTATATAGCAGTGTCACCAAGCCCTGATCAAAGAGCTATGTATGTAACAGGACTGTTCTAATTTTTATGTATTATAATTAATCTAACTACGATTTCAGGATGAGAGCTCCGGAAGTGATATCCTTGATTTTGGAGCCTGAATCTCGTTTTTACTCAGATCCGGTTGTGGTTTTAGATTTTCAGTCCTTATACCCATCAATAATTATAGCTTACAATTACTGCTTTTCAACTTGCCTGGGAAATGTCAAGAATATTATCACGTTCGTGACGCACAGCAATATCTTAATCGCAGATATAGTTGACTATTGTATGAAAACTAACTATAATTAAGTTTATCTATAAATTAATCTGCGTATTTTTAATATTGATAAAAGAGACGAAAGTAGGCAATTTGGTTGTACTACATTGCGTGTACCTTTAGCAACCATGAAGGTAACGATCGTGCACTATTTTACTTCATGTTTTAATCCTCACTGTTATTTATCTGTATTACATTAGACTTTTGTTATAAACTAATTGTACAGTATTAATATTGACATGTATAGAAAATTAAAGAAGACTACACTGTCTCACCGACGGGACTCGCCTTTGTTAAAAGTAACATCCGTAAAGGGGTACTACCAAGGTACAGTAGTAGCAATGCAACATTAAGGGAGCATAACTAACGTCATTGCTAGCTGCTATTGATTTATTTACTATTTGCAAATGATATAATGTAGAATGCTAGAGGAAATCTTAAATACTCGTGTTATGGTAAAAGGAGCTATGAAAAAAAACAAAGGAGATAAGGTAAGTCTGCCATTAATACATCATATTACCTTGCAAGATTTGGGTTATAACTTTAGATCGACGAATTTTGGCATTAGGCCTTAGAACGTCTTCTAAATGCGAGGCAGCTAGGATTGAAATTAATTTCTAATGTGACTTATGGTTATACTTCGGCCAACTTTTCAGGACGTATGCCTTGTGTTGAGGTTATTAAGCATTAGATAACAAACCTTTTATGATCTTGACACCCCTAAAATGCTACTATTCTTACATTGTAAATTAAGACATGAATGCAATCTTAATAAATGTAATTTGGAATTGAAGATTGGCGATAGTATCGTAGCTAAGGCTCGAGAGACTTTAACCCGTGCGATACACTTGGTAGAAAATACTCCCGAATGGAAAGCAAAAGTTGTTTATGGAGATACAGATAGGTATGCTACTATTTCTTAGTTGAATCAAGTAAGTACAGTAGCTAAATGTTGAAACTCACTTGATTTCAAACAGCACTAGGCAACTGAATATTTTCTGTTTTTGCATACGTATTGTGTAGCATGTTCATTTTACTTGAGGGTGCCACTAAGGATGAGGCCTTTCGTATTGGTAGAGAAATTACGAAACGGGTTACGGAACTAAATCCTGTACCGGTTAAATTAAAGTTTGAAAAGGTCTAAGTTACTTTCAGTACTTGCGTACGAGATGTTAGTCTAGTATTATTATTCTAAGTACTAGCATGTGATAATATTATTCATATGCACTGTTTTTATTTAAGTATATAGACTAAATGTTAAATAATCTTATTTAATATTATATATTTTATTTAGGTGTATTTGCCATGCGTACTACAAACGAAAAAACGCTATGTTGGATTTGCATATGAAAAAGAAGATCAATTTGAACCAATTTACGATGCAAAAGGAATAGAAACTGTTCGCAGAGATGGCTGTCCAGCTGTTGCGAAAGTATATATATGTCTATTATCATAAAGAACTTAATTGAGGAGGCTGTATTAATTATGCAATCTAAATTGTTAACGAGAATATTTTTATCGCTGTCTACTTTTCAGATATTAGAAAAATCTATCAAGATGTTATTTATGCAACGAGATGTATCATTAATAAAGAAATTTGTATTGAGGCAATGTCAAAAATTAATTGATGGTAAAGCCAGCACAAAAGATTTTGTTATCGCTAAAGAATATCGTGGGCGTAGCTCATACAAACCGGGGGCTTGTGTTCCCTCATTGGAGATCTCAAAGTAGGTTCAACGGAGGAATATAGCTCACAGTTACGGATGATAAATAGTACTAGCTGTTAATGCAAAGGATATTGAAACTAATGAAGTGTTCTATATTATGAAACTTTAGGAAATTACTAGCTACTGATAAGCGGGCTGAACCGCGAGTTGGTGAACGTGTACCGTATGTTGTGGTATATGGAATGCCCGGCTTGCCATTGATACGTTTGGTTCGAAGGTAAAGGAGTTAATACAGTAATAGCTGCTCTAGTTCGTCAATTATAGTATTCATTAAGTCGTTATATATTTTTAATACTGACCGTATTTTTGGCTACTATGATAGGCCTATTGAATTCTTAAGCGATCCAAGTTTAAGGTTAAATGCAGCATATTACATTACGAAACAAATTCTTCCCCCTCTTAATAGAATATTTTCGCTTATCGGTGTCGATACAAATGCATGGTGAGCAATTCATTGCGTAAAAAGTTACCTTCATAAAATCCTACGTTTAACAATATTATCTAAATCCTAGTCATATAGCATAATTATATTCGAATATATTATAAGTAGTTAGGTCTCTTTTTAACTTGATAAACGTAAAATTTGAATTAGACATTTTTTACCTTGCTTTGTTCTATCTTTTAGGTATAATGAATTACCGAGATCCCTCCGTTCGGCGGCTTTTGTCCCTCAAAGTAACGATCTAATTCAAAAGGTTTGTCTTTGTCCTCATAATACTTATAAAGTTGTTGATTATCTATCAATTCGTTATTAATAGTTTATATGTGAACATTTTAGGCCACAATCTCTCAATATTTTAATAGTTTAAGATGTCCTATATGTGAAATTGTTACAAATCATGGTATTTGCTGTAAATGTCAATCTGATCCTCAGAAGGCCATTTTATTAATACAAGATCGTCTACGCTTGATGGAACGTGCTCATTGCAAGATGAAGGAGGTAATGATCTTAAACAGTAACCGGTATACCATTAAATGATTCAAATTAATCATTTGTGGTACTTAAATTTATTGTGTACTAAGTAGATCATTATCATTTCATAGTTATGTTATCAATGCATTGGGGTTCGCCTTTGTGATGTCCAATGTGAATCATTGGATTGTCCTATTTTATTTAAAGTACTGAAGGCAAAGCACGAATTAGTACAAGCTTCGCATTTACGAAAAGTGATTGAAGTATTTTCTAGCAGAAGTTAAGTTTTGGGAGTCACTAATTTCTTACATAATTTACTAATCTCTAGAAATGAAATTTCTAGATTAAATTATTAGCTCTTTAAGATGTTTTTGTTTAATTTATATTATTGGACAGATAGGAAAATAACCTAGTTTGGCCAGTATTTAATCTAAGTCAACATTTTATTTTATATTTTAACTAGCCGAATCCACACACCCAGTTGTGTATTAAACATATCTATTACATAGTCAGATCAGATCAATATTGGATCTAAAATTTTATTTAGAGCGGTAAAACCGCTTTATGCCTTGCTCTGTAAACTACATGAAGCATGTATCTGAATTACTGATGCATATTTTAGCATAAGGAGAAAGTAGTGCATGCGCTACCGTGCTTCTTATCTCATAGGGCATGCATTTATTTTATTATAAGAGCAATCGATTCATCGAACGTTCTACCTAGTGTATTTCCAGTTAGCTTAATTGTTTGGCTAATGAAATAATTTTGTCAATATAATGTTGATGTACTGTCTATTTATTGTTTCCATCTTCATTTTAATTATGTCACTATATCTCCTTTTATATTATTTGTTAATTATTATTTATTTATTACTTCTCATTTATCAAGATCATAAAATTATTTTCAGCTTCTCAATATGTGTAGATCGTCTAGATCCTAAATTACTCGACTTCTTAATGATCTCAATACTTGAAAATAGCTTTACTACTAATTAAAATCATTTGCAGTTTCGATAGGCACATCGCCTCCATCGTAGGTTACTCGTCTACTATATTATCTCCATACATGAAAATAATCTTGCAACTATTGGAGATCGTCGAATCTGTAGGAGTGTTTTGATATGTACTGTAGTTCAATATCCTTTTCATATGACTAATTTGACAAGGAGGTACGAAGTGCCTTGTGGTGTTTGCTATAATCAATTTTTGTATCATTTAAAGTCAGTTACAGCTGCTTGACCCTGATGAAACTTTAACCCGAATAATTGTAACCGGTTAAAATGAATTCAGAATTGATTGTGGTAGACATGACTAGAAATTTCGTACCTTGATGAATATCAGAGGAACGGTACATATTTTTTTGTTTACTTCAATACTTTAGAAAGTAAAGACATGAACTGTCGTTACGGTACGGTATAGTGCTCGAGTAAGAAGAAAAAGTTTCTTTACTTCTATGACAGCACCATAGATGCACAAAGAAAATGCCTTAGAAGTTAGAACTTTGAATAGGGCGTAGTTTTTCTTGAAGTGCAGGAGAATGAAAGATACTTAACTGGTAAACTACAGCCTTGATCTAGCCTAGACTAAGTCCATGATTATGAATTAGATGTATTGCCTATACTGTAAGACCAATTAATTAATTATTCGATCCGTCATTTCGTTCCGGATACTGTCAACTACAGTGCACAGTACTCTAATTTACAATACATTTTACTGTACAGTACTGTACTAAACGTGAGCATGATTAAACGTACAGTACAGTACTGTATTTCGAATATTACAAATACTACCTAGCCAAATCGTGGAGGCCATCATCGCTGATTAGAGCAAGGCTGATTTCGTTGTATAATATATTCTTCATGTTATTGGGCTATTTAGGAATCCTTGATATTGTTAAGATATAGATTGATCAGAGGTAGAATAATTGTAGTATTAACGTATGGTGAAATATTGCATCAATGGTTCTACTGTATTACCAGCCTTTTAAGGTACAGATAGATGGAGGTCCATGAATTGCAAGAAAGGAAAATTAGTCTCCGATTAAACCTTGGAGTAGCAAGCCAACATGACAGTCGTGACTTATTGTAGAAGTGTTCAGGTGTCCAAGATTGACAGCAAATAGTCATTTCTTGGAAGAGTATTCGGAATATTAATCCGTTGCCATAATGTTCTCAATCAGAATTTTTACTATCGATTTCTATATGAGTAGACCGGTGCCTAAGCTGGATGTTTGTTATTCACCATTTCGTAAGACATCGGTCAAGCGTGTACCTATTTTGCGAGTATTCGGTCCAACACCAGCTGGTCAAAAAGCATGTTTACACATTCATGGTGTTTTCCCTTACTTATACGTTCCTTATGATGGCTCACAACCTGTTGATAAGTACTTAGAAGAATTTGCTCTTAGTATTGATAAAGCAATTAACGCCTCAATGAGTGAGTCTAATGCAGCTTCCAGTAATTCGTGGCATCAGCAAACGGTCTTTAAAATATCGCTTGTTAATGGAGTGTAAGTATTTCATTTTTTGTGCATTTTAGTATCCATTTAGAATATGCTTTCGTTGTACTTGGCTTATGTAGGACAGTACTTGGGATGAGATATTCCTAACTCATATGATCGAGTAGGTTATTGACAATGTCCAATGTACAGTACTGTACTTTATATAACACTAGTAACGTTTGACCACTGATGATGTCATTGTTGGCAAATTTCATCCATTCTCTTTCATAACTATCATATGATATAGGAAGCTAAGTACAGTATAGTTATGTTTGACTGTAACTCAATTTTCTTTGGTTCGATAGGCCAATGTATGGTTATAATCCAAGCCCTAGGCCCTTTTTAAAAATTTACATTTATAACCCTAACCTGGTGGGCAAGTATGTGAATTATGTGACTTTGCATAAGTGCAGTATGAATTAAGATAACTTAAACTCATGCTATAGAATATATTTTTTGCAGTGCATATTCACATGAACGTATAGTGCAGTTATTACTGAAGTGATACAAAGTATTAAAATTAGCTACGCTCTCTGGGCTACTGTAATGCATCATTCGTAATTGAACGCATTTTCATTAATAAAACGGTATTGATCTTGAAGAATTGCAGATTTGCTCTTAACTGGAGCTGTCATGAATAAAGTCTTTCAACCTCATGAAGCTCACCTGCCATTTACATTACAGGTAAAAAGATATAAAGTCTTTATATGGTTAATAGTGAAGATAATACTTCATCTTTCTCATTCAGTAATGTACTATTGCAATGTTATCACATTCGAAATTTAAATGTAATCCCACTTTAAGTTAATTTAATGGAAAAATGCGCACGATATCATTGGATCTAATGCTGTAATATATATGTTCTCTCATGCATAACGTTATAAACAACTCATCACTAACTCCGAGTATCTCTAAAACAATACACTGTATGGCACTGTACTGTATCTTATATATACTTGAGATTTATAATTAAAGCACTACAAAATAATTACTGTTATAGTAGACTAGCATTATGCGATGAAAATAGTCCACGTAATTTAGAAAGTTATAACATAACACCATGTGGTATCTGCTGTGGAAATCTATTAATACTCATAGGTTTTGTATGACGAAGTAAAAACAAATTAAAATGGAGTGGATAATATAATTGATGGAACTGGCCCTTTACCTTTATTTTTGGCTTAATATTATTTTTCCAAGTTTTTCATCGATTACAACCTCTATGGAATGAATTGGATTAAGTTAAATGCCGTAAAATTCAGGATAACGGATGATATACAAGGTAGCACTGCTCTGAATTGATATTTAGCGTAATAAAATATGCGAGATAATTTGTAGCCAAGGAAATTCCTTTCGTTTTCCTTACAGATATGATGTCATCAGAGATGACCGATTTATTCGTTGTGGATAATTGTTCCTTGCCATCGACTGCTCTACAACCTTATCTCACTCCAGGTGAAAAGATTTGGAACAATCAAACTATCTCTGAGTAAGTAATACACTATAAACGACTAATACTTGTTAATGCAATATCCGGCTTGTGCCTTGGTAAAAGCTGTGTGTTAATTTTTATTGTTAGTCCAAGTTAGCTAGATAATGTGATATTATTTTAATATTGCTCTATGGAAATTGATATAATTAACTATCGTACTACGTGTTAGTTAAAACGCTATAAATCTTTTGCATGAACAGGCAAGATTGTTTAAGTGAATTAGAACGTACCAGCAGCTGTGAAGTAGAAGTCGATGCTGTTGCGGCTGATATTATCAATCGGCATGATTTAATAAGTATGTATCTTATGGCTGATAGAGCCATACTGTTCACTATTAGATCTGAACAGTGCTTTCTGCGTAATTAGATCAGGTTGGTATTAACCCTGGAATTCAAGCCTTGTGGGATGATGAACGACAACGACGACATGATAGAAATGAGTCTTCTCAGTTAATAAAAAATCCTTCCCAAGGTTAACCTTACTTTAAGAATTCAGCTTAAAAGTGATACTGCCACTTATGAGAACATCATCCTTAGCATCAGGGTGATCATCAATAAATTCATGCATTTTTGTGATTATATAGAACGAGAAGATCCTGTTGTTTTAGAGACTGAACAGCTTTTCCTGAAGCAGATTGATAAAATTATCTATGGTTATGATGAAGCACTTAAGTAGGTTTGCAATTTTTTTGTATTTGTTACAAATTTGTTACTTGAACGCACTTTGATTTACACTAAAGAGAAGCAATTTCTACAACAGGAATGAGAATTACGTAAAAAAAGATGATTCTATTCAAGTCAATGTAACTGCAGCATTAGCTTTTGGGAACGATGCTCATACGATTCAGTCTGGTACATTTTTGTGATTAATTAGATGTTATAACGCCTTTATGATCGACAATATTTTGAAGTAACAAGACAGAATCTTTGACGATACGCATATTGAAATTGGATATTTTATGCAATATTGTTATTATTATTAATAAAGATTCGTTAATAATATTCCACTTGATTAGACAAAGACAGTTACGACATTTGTCAAGCTGATGACAGCCAGTTTGTTAAACCATCTGAATTAAACTCAAGTTTGAATGAAACTATAGACCTTTACGAAGGTACTTGTATATTGTTCCTTGCCGACGAGAAATGCCTTGTTAGCTGGATAAATTTAACCGCTTCATTACTTTACAGATGAGGGCTCTATTGATCCGGATCTAGTCCAACTTGTTGCAGGTTTGGCAGACGACATTTCTAGTAGTCAAATATGTGAGACCATACCTGATGATGGCGAAGTTAGTGTTCTCTACGGTAGCGGTGCTATTAATGACTCCATGTCTGACGAAAAGCTGCGGTTGGAAAAGGAGGAATTAGAGGAAAGTCTGGAAATGTCTCAGGCGTGGAATTGTAAAAGTACCATTACAGAAAACTTGAACGATTCGTAAGTATTGCATAAAGTCAATGCTACAAAATTAGATTTATTTTAGCCGCAAAGAAAAGTACTTCTACTTGAGTACCAAGAATTACGTACTTCTGGCATATTATGTTATCAAAGATATGCTTATTAACCTAAAGCCATTTTAATTTTGTAGGTTAAGCTCTCAAAATATGTTATTTACTTCTCCGGAATCTACCTCTGGCGATGCAAGTCATATATTCCAGCTAGATGGCGCAGACGATTCTTCGTCAACGGAGAGTCTAGAAGATGCTGCAAGTGATTTATCAAGTAATGACCAACCAGTTACGCATAAGTTAGCAGATAGTTTGACCAAATTGAAGAGAATTCGCAGGAAAAGCTCGGTAGTCAACCAGATGGTGGCATCTATACCTGTGACTCCAGGCAAAGATGATAAATCGTTAGACATTCCGCATCGATCGCAACAATCCGATCATGAAAGTAAAATAAATCGCAAAAGAAAATTGCAACCAATAGTAGCCGTTGCACAAATTATTTCTGGTAAAGGTAATACAAAATTACCGATCGAATCAACTAATCAGAAAGTGACGTCCACTGCTCAAACAGATGATGAAAAAAGCTTAGCGGTAGCAAAGATAAAATCTGTACCAGTTCTCAAATTTTTAGATAAGAATACAAAAACTGATATTTTTGACGGAACATTCGATTCTCAAATGAGGGATGAGTTGGTAGTTGATGATATGCAAAGTTTAGAAAAGTCGGATCATTCGTTAAGCGCGAGTCAGGTACAAAGTCCTAGCAAGAAATTAAAGGGACAAGGTATTGACGATAGGACAATGAAAAGTTGTGATTTTAATTTTGATGAACAAATGAGAAGAGATTTTCGTGTTGATAAAAACACCGCTAATATTCATGGGAAGAAACAACCTTTAGCAACTCAACGTGGTAACGCGACATTGATGCGCTATTTTAGCAAGGTCACAAAGGTGCAACAGGACGGTCATTCTGAGGTGGCAACCCCGACCAATTTAAATCAAACTTTAGGAAAGCAGGATGACATAACCAGTACAATAAATGATACTTCAAATACGACTGCAGTAGCATCAAATGCAAGTAATGACGAAAATTTATTGCATAGTCCAGCTGAATCATTGCTATGGTCATCTCTTGGCTCTGGCAGTATTACATTTCCTACCTGTAATAATAGGACTACGTCAGAAGATGTCATGGTCAACTTATCATTTCCGTCTCCAATACATAGCTCGCCTAATAGTAATACACCGCCATTAGCGAATTCTCCGAATCAACATAGCAATACCAGCGATAGCTACTTTGTTGGAAGGGCAGCATCGCAAATAGGAGAGAATATGCATCATCATAATGAAAGTCAACTTGAATTATGTGAAAGTTTAGAGCCGTTGTCTTCATTTGGTTCAGTTCGTGAAGGTAATGATGCTCATGATACTACATTAGATTCTGATATTCGGCCAGTTTTGACCAGTTCCCTAGAAGATAAGAAATCACAGCTTTCGAGTGCTCTACCTGTGAAAATTCAAACTGATATTAGTTATAGGAATCTCTGCTACAGGTTAATAAAAGAACTTAACTGAAAATTCTACATTTATCTATTTTGTATTTCTCTACCACAAAAGATATCTTTTTACGACAAATTGCTTCTTTAATAGCCTACCTTTAAATGAATCTGGTGTTTGGAGACCGAATTGCGATCCACCGTCAAAAGAAGATATCTTGTCAACTTGCTCACAAGTTGGTGTACTAGGGGCTAAATTTGTTGAACCATATTGTAGTGAGGCGGTAGATATACCTCGGCGACCAAAGTAAGATTTATTTGAGAAAGGAGTATTTAATGTTAAATCCAAATAAAAGTCGAAGAATACGGTAGTGTTTCAACGTGTTTATGCATGTATTTAAATTATTACTTAACTAAATAGCATCATTGTAATTAATGTGTACAGAGAAATTCAAGGCCGATTTTTGAGAGTTAAATCAGATAAGGTTAGTTGTGTGAGTTAAAATGTTATAGACGATTGGAATGCCTTAAGCTTATACGGTATACTTCGCTTGCTCTTTCAAATATGTAACTTATATTGCACCTGGCCTTGATGGAAAGATTTCAGAGCTACCGAAATTCGAATCTGGAAATAATAACACTGTATATATTAGTGGCTTAAGCCATTGGCAACTTATTTTAAGCAATAGCATTCATCCGTACTTACGTCATTTTATGAAATCAAGTTACAATGACTTAAATTATGATCGTAAAGTGCCGAAGGAAATCCTCCCGGTAATTAACTCTGTGCGTAAAGCGGATGCAGTTATTACACCCTGTAAAGGTCCACCCACTAGAAAATCTATTTGTAATGACATCGAAAAGAGATGGAAAAGTAGCAAAAAGGTAGTCAAATTAAGTGCGTCGACAGAATCGAAAGAACAGTTTTTACCTGAAGACTATTCGATAAACGTAAGTAATTTTAATATATTTCGGTCATTATAAATTTTACCTTACTTTAAACATCGGTGCCGTTTGTTTGTATATGCTATTTATTTAGTTTCAAGATGATACCAGAAAACTGAATCGTGTTAGGGGTCTCGATACACACGATTGTGATCTTGTGATACGAAGTAGTTTTCACAATCCAAAGGATGGAAAAGCTTCACGAGAGGTTTTTTTATCGTAATACTCTTCAATGATAATTAAATTAATTAATATATAATATAAATGCAGCCTTCGATGAGTTCAGCTTTAATACAACAGTAATGTTTTTCAATTAGGTTGAACATTTAACGACTTTAAGTTTGGAATTACATATTGGAACCAGGAAGGATTTGTCTCCTGATCCAGAATTCGATTCAGTTTTGGGGATATTTTATCATGTTCATAGAGATATTCCTGATGGTGATGCCTTAAGGAAAGAGATTACAGGAATGATTTTGGTCGATACGAAATTGCAGAAGGTTCCATCATCCTTGCATGAGCATGATGAATTGAATATAGCTGATTTGGGTTTGACTAGCACACAAAAATCAGCGACGATAGATAACGACCCAACAGTAGAAGAGGAACACCGCTCAAGTAGTAGCTTCAGGTCTCGTAAATCCCAGTACCAGAGACAATTGCTCGCGAGATGTGGTGTGAGTGATGTGATCGCAGAATATGTAGCGGATGAAATTTCCTTATTGCTAGCACTTGTTAGACTAATCAGAAGGTCATTATATATTTTAATCATGCTTACTTATGTTTTATCCAGCAAGGCTAAATGCGATCTACACTGTTCTTTTCAGATGGGATCCAGACATCTTAGTCGGGTACGAAATTCAAATGTTGTCTTGGGGGTATTTGTTGCAGCGGAGTAAAAGTCTTCAAATCGATTTAGCGACTTTATTATCTAGAGTTCCATCTGTAAATAATAAATTTCAACTGGAGTTGGAAAATGATTTCCAGGCTAACTATAAGACTGATGTATTCATTGTTGGTAGAGTAATAGTCAATATTTGGCGTATTATGCGTTATGAGGTAGTTGTTCAAATTTTAGAACTAGCAAGTGAGGGAAGATCTTGAGATGGTTATCTATTTTGCCAGGTCGCGTTAAGAAGCTATACTTTTGAAAGTGTAATAGACCATGTTTTACATCGCCGACATGCATTACATACTTTTCGCTCTTTGACGGATTGGTTTCATGATGATAGAAATCGGTAATTCTATCGTGATATTTAAGTTTAAAGTTCACCACATCGGCTGTTTTATATGATGACTATTTCATTGTAGGTGGCGCACCATAGAATATTACATTATTCGATGTCGTGGTAATTGGCGACTACTCGAAACCTTCGATATGATTGATAGAAGCAGTGAATTCGCTCGGCTCTATGGTATTCAATTTTACTCTGTCCTTTCAAGAGGGAGTCAGGTATAAGTTAAAGCTACAGTTAACAAAATTTAATGGAATGCAATAGTTGCAATTCTGTACCATGAAGTGTAAGGACTAACTTAATATCGTTTAGTTTCGTATTGAGTCGATGCTTCTTCGACTGGCGAAACCGATGAATTATATTCCGGTGTCGGTTAGCGAGAAGCAGCGAACTTGGTAAGTTGATACTAGCACTCGATGTCGTCGAGTTTGGCTTTAACAATTTTTATTGCTACTTGTAGTATGCAACTCATATGCAGTATATTAGGTATTTAAGCTTTAGATCAATTTAAAAGTTTCGTAAGATATTCATAGACAAGGCGTAAAATCATGCATTTTGCGTACATGTAGGATGAAGGCCCCTGAAGTGATTCCATTAGTTATGGAACCAGAATCACGATTTTATTCGAATCCTGTGTTGGTTCTAGATTTTCAATCTTTATATCCATCTGTGATGATAGCATACAATTACTGTTATACCACTTGTCTTGGCCGCATTTCTGGAATTGCAACGTAATATGCATTTAATCTCATTAATCGAAATTAATAATTGACAGGGCATTATCTTATAAATTTGAATATATTTAACACAATATAATAAATGTGTTTATAGGGATAAAGAATTTAAATTTGGCTGCACATCACACCAAGTTCCGTTGTCTTTGCTAAAGGTTAGCATCTAATTTGACGCCATGTGGATAAGTATTATTGCTACATGACTAACTTATCATCCTACTTTAACGTGTATGTAATTGATATAGAAGCTACGAAATGATATAAGCATTGCACCATGTGGAGCAGTCTATGTAAAAGACCATATTCGAAAAGGCGTAATACCGAGGTAAAAATGTTATATCCGTTTAAGTGCCTGTTAGCATTTATTTAGAATTTAATTGATTTAGGCTTTATTAAAGTTATGATTACATAGTTATATATATTTGCCGTATTGTTAGAATGTTGAAAGAAATATTAGACACACGTATCATGATAAAGCGAGCTATGAAGGATTGCAAAGATAATAAGGTGTGTATACGTACTTTATGTTGATCTTTTCTAAGCGCTTATTCTCAGTAGGAAATAGCTTGAGCACTTCGATTTTATTTCGCATTTAGTCACTTCATCGCCTCCTCGATATACGACAGTTTGGTTTAAAAATGATAGCTAACGTAACATATGGGTATGCAGGGGCAACGTTCAGTGGTCGAATGCCGTTAATCGAGGTTTATGATAAGATAGGTTTAGTGTAGTACTTTAGCACTTATAAGTTATGAAGGTATAGAAAAATCGCTTCTTGTTTGCATTTTTAATAGTTAGCTGACAGTATCGTCAGCAAAGCACGCGAAACTCTAGAACGTGCTATTAAGATTGTCAATACGACCAGTAAGTGGAATGCCAGAGTTGTATATGGTGATACAGACAGGTAAGTTTTTAGTATGTCTTTATGAAGAAGTATAAATGAGCTAATAAACCAGAAACGTAACTTTGCAGTATGTTCGTACTGCTGGAGGGTGCAACCAAAGCTAGAGCTTTTGAAATTGGTCGAGAAATTGCTGAGACTATCACATCTATGAATCCCAAGCCAGTAGCTTTAAAGTTCGAAAAGGTCTGCAAAATTAAAAAAATATATATTTATAAAATAAATATGAATAAATATTTTCGTAATTTTGGTGTCCAAATACTCTTTAGTTATTCGATGCTAATTTAATATTATGATTAGGTGTTTTTAAACTGTGCCATTCATCCACGGTTGATCTTAATGTCTTATAATAATATATTTTAATTGAGTTGGATTCATTATAAGCAGTAATAGGGTATTTACTATCTGTGTTAGGTATTTTTACCCTCACTATTAATAACGAAAAAGCGGTATGTCGGCTACGCATATGAATCTGCCGACCAGAAAGAGCCTACTTTTGATGCTAAAGGTATCGAAACTGTTCGAAGAGATGGTTGTCCTGCAGTGTCAAAGGTTATTTATTTATTAATTAATCCTGTGGCATTTCTGTAACTTTTAAAGATTAATTGTAAAAGGTCGTTGAATTATTTTATTTTATATTAGATCATGGAAAAAGCAATTAGGATACTATTCTCTAGACGTGATATGTCACTTGTCAAGAAATATGTATTGCATAAGTGTCGAATGCTTATAGAAGGCAAGGTCGCAATTAATGACTATGTTATCGCTAAAGAATATCGTGGCAAGAGCACCTACAAGCCGGGTGCTTGTGTGCCGGCTTTAGAAATCACCAAGTATGCTACTTGAGTACATATGATGAAATATCATTATAGTTTTCGCTCTAACTAGATAGTAGATTTTATCATAGTTACCAAATAAAAGATTTTGACGCTATGCATATGATTCTTTAATAGGCAGTTGCTGGCTCATGATAGACGATCAGAGCCTCGTATTGGAGAGCGCGTGCCATACGTCATCGTCTACGGTGTACCTGGAGTGCCATTAATTCGTCTCGTTAGAAGGTATCATGTACAGTGTATATACATTACTTATAGTTTAAAGAATTTTATGTTTTATGCAATAGTTGAAGTGTAAGCTAATAATTCAATTTATCGATTGTAATGCTGTTTTAATCAAGTTCTCTTTCACTTATTGGCTAGACCACGTGAACTTTTAAATGACCCAAATTTACGCCTTAATGCCACTTATTACATCACCAAACAAATACTGCCAGCTTTAGACAGATTACTGTCTCTAATTGGCATTGATGTTGAAAGCTGGTATGAATGATGAAATGATTTGTTTTATTAATATTTTTATGTGACGAAATAATAGGACATAGAAGCTGTACTTACTGTATGCTTGGCGTTACCGTTAGAAACCGCCAATTAATTAATTAAGTATTAATACAGGCTCTAATCATATTCTTGAAACATGGATTGTTTGATTTTATTAGGCATGCTGAACTACCCAGATCCATTCGATCAGACGTAATTAACCAGAGTCAGTTTCAGGTGGCAAAGGTATAACTGTAAAGCCACCCATAGGCGTGTTTATGTTGTATTGTACCTTTTAAGCCTACAACTATGTAACTTCCCGTTTTCGTGAAATTTCGTTTTACAGCAAGGGGTAATTTCACAATATTTTAGCAGCTTGCACTGCCTAGTTTGCGAGGAAATGACTGTTGATGGTGTTTGCCCTTCGTGTATCCGAGATTCTCAAAAAGCAATCATGATTGCCCAGCAACGGATATCAGATTTTGAGAGAAAAAATCGTCATCTTAAAGAGGTTGAACCTTTAGAAAATAGTTCATATTTGTATCAGTCAAATCTATTATGAAAAAAATGTATTATATGAAGGACGTCTTATTTGATTTCTAATTTGCTATTTATTGTGTTTGATTTCGTAGATATGCTGCAATTGTATTGGTCAACGTGTGATTAATGCTGAATGTATCTCTCTGGACTGTCCAATTCTGTTTGAAACTAAGCGAAACCAACGAGATGTTGATTGCATTCCGCGTTTGCGTGAATTTATATCGAAAATATCCACGATTGCTTGTAGTTCTATCGCTGAAGCACAAATTACAGGGTAATATATGCTGCGTGGCATACATTATGCTACAGGCGTACAGTACAGTGAATATGTGTTGCAAGTATGCGTTCGTATGCCGTCGCTATCCCTATGTACAGTACATGCATGTAAAGTCCCTTTGTAAACAAGATTTTTAAATTTGGTACCAGGATAAGTTTTGGAAATGTATATATAATATTCTTTTCTTTCATATATATATTTTAACTATATACAATTCTATAGTATTGGGTTGGACTAGTCATTTATTGGATCAGAGCGTAACATGACATGAGTACGCTCTTTGCTATGCCCACAAAATACTGTATGTAATTCATTTTTTGAAAACCTGTTTTAAATATTTGTTATTGGCAAACTACACGGTATACTACTTAAAGCCGTAATTTATTATCGTAGCCAGAATGTCTTGAACAATATTGGATTGGATAACTGTAAATTGATATATTGCCGTGCCTATGCTAAAACAGTATAAAACATTCAAAATTAAGGAAAAATTAAAATACAGTATCGCTTTCGACTACCTTTCACTCAACATGCAATCCTACGAGTGTTGGGGATACCAATGCCAATCACTACTGCACTTGGCTCTCCCATATATAATTTATTGTGGACGCATAGATTTATTAAGGGATGATTGTGTAGAAATGTACAAAATTCTATTACGAACGAATGCATTTTTATTTGATGGCGGTATTACCTTTGCCGCAACCAAACTATGCAACAGTTTAATTATCGATTAAATAGTGCCACTAGTGGATTTTACCAAGCCATCTCTTTATAATAATTATTATGTCATAGTCACTATACAGTACATGATAGTTAAAATTTTTCAGCAAGACAAATCAACTGGATAAAATACACACAATACTCTGCAACAAAGCTTTGTGGAATAACGTTACACCATTCGAGTTGCTAGGTATACTTTCGAAAATAGCAGCATGATTGCAGCAACATGCACCATTTATATCAATTCTATCATGCATTATTATGCAACATTTAAAGAATTTTTAATTCAATTAGCTACTATAGATACTCAACGAACAAGATTGAAATGAATAACATTGGCCACTAGGTAAAGCCAGTATATTTACGTTAAATTTTCGACCAGCTGCATGATTATTTATACATGAATACCAGACACAAACATCCATTAATAACAAGTTAAATAAACGAGATTGAAAACTTTATCACATGTAATGTACAATGAGTACAGTATTACGACCATAGGGAATCCAACTGTACATCATCAAGAAATAATGTACAATAATAGACTGGCCATCCACGATCCTCCGTCGAATTTTTTAAATTGGAATTAGCCAATCAATCAAGTGGTACT